GCAATAATAATGTGTCAAATAATAATTATTTTTTAATTTGATTTATATAAATACGATTGCATTGATGGCAATATTCTGTTGGCCTATAACAATGTTAATGAACAAATGAATATCGGGTATATATTCCATTAATATATAATAAATATTATTTTGTAAAGATTAAAAAAATATTAAAGTTATAAAAATGTGACACTGTCCTAATATTGCTCAGTTCTTAATAAACATTTGTGAAATTAGGAAAAAGAAAAAGTGATTGCAAATTAAAGTGAGTGTGATCGTGAAAGTAAAATAATTAGTGCAAGTGGTAAAGTGTTTTATTACAAATCGCCAACCCAGACGTTTAGTGCTAAAACATTATTATTTCATTTTTTGCAATTTATGTGTTGAAATAAAATGATCTTTATTATTATTACAATGGAATAATATTCCAAAGTATTATTAAAGTAGTGTGGAATAAATAAAAAAATTAAGTACACATACTAATTATAATTTTTGCATTTATATTTTTATTTGATTTAGAAAATATTTTTATAAATTTATTGTCATTAAATTGTAGGATACTGTGGTAAAAGTATTTTATGTTATTGTACTGTACAAATAACACAATTCGTTTAGTTATTTCGTCAAATATCGATATATTTTTCGACATTGTCAAGCACTAGTCGATGTCAAATGGACTCACTCGACAGTTTTGTCATTTGTTCTGAATGGTATAATCCAGCCAGTTTATGATGGTTGTCAGATGTCAACAATACATAGAAATATCGACTATATTTAACATTGTTGGATAATATGACATTTTATTTTACATTTAATTAAATTGTGTGATAAATAACAATAAATGTAATAAAATAATGTATTTACAAGTGAAAAGAAATACTGCTGCTTCCGCCGTTATAGTTTTTACATCATTTAACAGAACATTTAGTCATTTTTGGGAGATGTTTTGTTGACAAATAAGTGCTTGAGACTGACGCAAAAAACAAACGACCAAGCCTAAAATCTCCTGGTTACTGAGAAGACCGATAAAGTTACGTCCGCTTATATGTCTGGTCCAGTGGTTAATTCGTTCATGCCCAGAACAATCTATTTGGTCTAAGTATCTTAAACTTAACAGTTTGGCCTAGGCCTAATTTATTTTGAGGCATTATTCGGCTGCAGTATAGTATATGGGATGCGGTCTCTTGAGGAGTGGGTGGTATTATTATGTGAGAGGCCCGACTTGAATAACGTAGGTTGAGAACTGTTTAGACGTACCATTTATAATAATTACTTTTGGTATTATGACGTTACACACTCTCCACTACGCTACAGTACTATGTCTTGGAGCAAAATATACACTGATACAAGCAATGTATAATATTATAAATACAAAGGCATGTTATTTTAAGTTTCTAGTAAAAATATACGCACACTTGATTTGGATATTTTTCTTTCTTAAAGATTGTTAATCAGCTGTTCTTAAAATAATTCTTACTCGTTTCAAGGATACCTTAAAATATGATACACGTGCAGGGAAAGCAAATGAATGTTTCAATTGGCAAGAACATCAAAGTTGTCGAACCTACGTACCAGCAACCAGATAGGTGCATCCGATTACAAGGATATTCTAATACCACCAATTAATAACTTACATTCTAAAATAAGCTTTATTACAACTGTATAGAATTTAAATTTAAAAGAATTGCTGTTAATGCAATGCATCTCCATGTAGTATAAATTGATTTAATTTCTATGGCTTATAAAGTAAAGATCATATTTCTGTAACTATTAAAACCTTTATCAGTTATTATTAATGACGTAAATCACACATGTGATTTTGATTGACATTTCGTTTTATTCAATTGAACGGTATCGCTATGTTACTAATTATAGTTGAGTATAGTTCACACTGTTGAAAGGAATGTATCGGAACTAGTGCCAATTTTTTTAGGGTTCCGTATCCCAAAAGAAAAAAAGATAAGAGAAGACCCTTATAAAATCACTTCGTTGTCCGTGTGTCCGTCTGTCTTTCAAGATTCTTTTTCTCAGGAACACGTGGAGGTATCAAGTAGAAATTAATATCAAAATACTCAAGTCTGCAATCCCATGAAGCTGTGAAAAAAAGCAAACTTCTAAGTCAATGTAATCAAAATATACAGCGTTTATGTCGCATATAGAGAATTTCAGGTTGACCTAGACACATGAATTTTGGGCAAGAATCATTGTCTTATAGCACAAGTAAAGAAAAATCGAATCAGAATATGTATGTATATTTGTATGTATATTTTTCACCTTCACGCTGAAATGGTTACACGTAAGTGTAAGGCACCTAAGGAAGCACCCGATCGATCGGGAATATGTCGCTAACGTGTACATAAATATTCCACGTGAATTTCACGTGAATTCCACGTCAAATTCAAGGTTGTCAAATCTATATGCCAGCCACAAAACAGGTAAAGTGTCTTGTTTGGAGATTAAAACTGTAATTGACACCCATAGAAAACACCCATTAATATAAAACTGAAATAATCAACGTAATACTATAAAGTAAAAACGGCTATATATAACCGTCTTGAATTTTTACGACCACATAAAAGCTTTTAAAGTGCCTAGAATGAAATTTTGGACATCTAATGTCTATTAAAATAAATGAATAAAATATAAAATTCAACCGCGTAAAAACAAACACTAAATCGTCATGTCAATGGGGATGGTTATTAATTTCGTGAATGTTCCATTTACGACATGTACAGTAACATGTGCTATCAATCATACAAATTTTACCGTTTTGCCATTTTATGAAATGGAAGTTGCGAAATTCAAAAACATAGCGTATGTTATGACGTATCGATTTATATGAAAATATGAGCTTGTCAAAGTACGCTTTTACGTATTTTATGAAATACTAGCGACTCACCTCGGGTTCGTCCCTAGTTACATTTTAACATTTAATATACATTTTTCAGAGATGAGGTATTTTCCCGCAGAAAAAATATCATATATGGTAAAAACTATAGATTCGGCATCTGTATCGATAATAATGACTATTTCAATAAGGTTTTCCAAAACATAATTAATGTAGAGATTCGACCCAGAATTTTATTATATAATCTCTATACATATATTTATTTTTGTTTTTCTTTAACTAAAAGACTGACAGATTAACTGATATGTCAACATTACACTGGCAGTGTTAGTTACCTTCAAAAATAAGAAAAAGTAAAAAGTTTTTAGTGCCAAGGAGTTATTACAAATTCGATTTTATTAACACATATAAAAGGTACATAACAACATAAAGGTACGTAACACATATAACAAATATATAAGGTACTCAGTATATGTGCTTGGGTTTCACGGTTAACTTTCAGATGTACCAATTTTGATAATATTTAGTATGGAGATATCTTGAACTTTTAAGAAGAAAATATTTATTAACATACTAGGAGACATAACTAGGAGAACCCGCGGCTTCGCTCACGCTAAAACTACAAAATAAAATCTTAAAAGGTTTCATACAAACTTTCGTCCCCTATTTTACCCCCGTATGGGAGGAATTTCGAAAAATGCTGAAACATGTATTTATTTAATTGTATTGAAGAGCATTTATACTAAGTTTCAAGTAATTCTGATTATAAATATTTTGTTGGATAATCGTGTTTATCGGATATATCGTGTTCTTCTGTGGGAATTAGATAATCTCCGGCGCTTAAAAGCTTATGTCACTCTCCAGCCCTTCAACTATCTTCATACAAAAAATCACGCCAATCCGTCTCTCAGTTTCGACGTGTAAGAATGACAAACTAACAAACACACTTTCACATTTATAATATTAAATAGGATATATAATTTCCAAATGAAATCTTTTCATTTTTTAAAGAAACTATTTAAGATTTCATTTAAAACCCTTATTAGAAAGTCATTAATGTGTTATAATATTTGAAAATATGATTTGTTATTAATGATAATAATCAATTATCATTAATTTTATATCGGTTTTCTGGTGCTATTTATATTTAAAAAAAAGTTATGTAAATTGTGGTCAATACCACAATTTATTTATAAAGAAAAATTAAAAAAATAAGTTAATTAATATAAATAAATAAAAATAAGTTAAATAATTTAGCATGAATTAAAGCAAAAGCTTTTGTAACTCATTGTATTTCACGAAGGAAATAAGCTTAGAAGCCATCGGTAGTAATATAAACTTGTTTCTGAAGAGAGCACAAAATTAAATTTCATACCACTAAGTTTGAATCATATTAAGACCGCAATTTGCATATTAGTTGTTAGTTGTTTAATTATTATAAACGAAGTAAACTTGTTATTGGTTAAGAAGTTTTGTTCATTAACTATATTTATTTGTATATAGTTTAAGATATCTCAGCAAAAGCCAGCATCATGTTTCAAAATTTATATATTTTAACTAGATTTAGTTACAATTTATTAGGAAACGCTTATTGTCAACAATTTCTTATTTCTTTGCTATAATTAAAAATCATGGATAGCATCCACCCATGTCAACTTCCCGTCGATCAATTTCCTTTCTTGTTTATTTATTCTTTCTATTTTTATTTCTTTTTTTGATCTGATAATTCTCGTTATTTTTAACGGCCTGGTTTATAAAGGTAGCATAATATGTGAATTCGCGAGATAATATAATAACCAAGAATCATTGAGCTATTGATTCTTGTTGATCTTATGAGAATAACTAACAATTTAGTTACTACAAACAGTGATACAATTAATAAAATTATTGAAAATACAAATAACAAAACTAAATAAATAAATCGATTCAAATTTAATTCTGATCTAACTACTACTACTAATATGTAAAGGCTGTGAAAATAAAAAACCGTGACACCCTAACATAGAATTTAAAACATTCTCTAAATCTAAGAAAGTATTTCTTGCAACAAATCCTAAATTTAATATTTTAGATGTCGTTAATTTATTGATTTATTTAAAGTTTGCTAAATATATGTACACCAATTTAAATCAAATTAAGAAATTTTGGTACAATGGTTTTCGTTTCACGTCTACTTCAAAATGAATCTGTAACATTTAATGATGTTTTGCTGACTGATTTCAGCGAGCCCGCCAATACAACAAAGACTAGCCAACTGGCAGAAGATTATTATGGTGCACACAGTGCACTCCTTATTCCTTTGACTCTTATATTCCGATGGGGTGATAATTCGACACGACCGGTCATACACCACCGACTGCCCAACATCGGGTTGTTACTTAGACTTTCAAAACAGAAAGACTCAATAACTAAACTTTGCCCGACCCGGGACTCAAATCCCAGGACCTCCGGATCTGCAGCCGTACAAGCTAGCCACAAAGCTACCGAGGTAGTCAAACATTTAATATCAAAACTTTCGAATCCATATATCGAAGACCGTATCAAGTTATTGAAAAAAGAATGACCAAATGATTTTTGAGTACTGCGTACGGCAAATGTGGAAAATAAAATACACCATATGTTTACTAGAGTGAAATTTGAATCCTTTGAAGAAATTGATTTGATTTTGCTATATGGAAGGCTTGTTTGGTTTGAATATTAAGCACTTCGAATCGCTTGGTTTCGTAGTTTCTCTAGCATGCCAAATTCCATAACACACGGACTCCAATCGAGGTATTGGTGCTTGAAAATGTACGTAAATTATACTCGTAGCAGCAAAATTGACTTACATAAGCACTTTTCTTCTTATATAAGCGGTTTACAATAAATATAATTCTGTTTTCTACTTAATATATTGTAACTATCTCGTATCCCACTTAAACTTACATTATATATATATATATATATATATATATATATAAATATAAAAATGGATCCCTATTTCACTTGGTCACGCCATCACATGTGAACGGCTGGACCGATTTAACTATTTTTTTTTGTTGTGTTTGTTATTGTCAGGAGAAGGTATTATGAAAGAAAAAATTGAAAAATTAACAAAAAAAATGTATATGGTTAACCCTGGCTAATAACTATTTATATCTATTTAAAACGTACCCAGCAACGAACCCGAGCGAAGCGAGGGTGAGCCGCTAGTCTATAATATAAAAATGAATCGCTGAATGTGTTGCTAAGCGCAAATCTCGAGAGCAGCTGAACCCATTTCGCTAATACTTTTTTTAGAATATTCCTTGAAGTACGAGGATGGTTCTTACGGAGAGAAAAATTTTAAAAATTGCCTTATTAAGCCTAAGAACAACACTTTTCTATACTCCCATACAAAAGATTCGTAATAATATTTAAAAGTCAATTTGAACTTTAATACCATACCATAAAGTTTAAGTATTAGTGGAGAGGTTCCGGGAAGGCAAAACAATTGAGTGACGTTAGTATCGTATAAATATATATATAATGTCAATATTTGTCAATATTATTAACAAAAAAAAAATGTATATGGCTAACGCTGGCTATTAACTATTTATATCTAAAATTAATTAATTAAAAACGTACCTAGCGACGAACCCGAGTGAAGCGAGGGTGAGCTGCTAGTATACATATGTTTATTACTACTTAATCATGAAACGGCTGGACAGATTTGGATATCATTAAATATATAGATAGCCTATGAGCTAGGGATACTTAAACATGTAGGAACGTATCCGAGCGAAGCGAGAGTAAGTCACTAGTAATTTTTTACAATTTAGATTTCAGTATTTATACGTATCTATGTGAATACAGTCTTGATAAAAGCGAGTGCTACAAAACATGTTTACCTATAAAAGATCATGTCGTCGTAAGTATTTATTTTTCGTTTCAATTATAAACTTGGATTAGTTCCACATTTTAATGTACGCGGCGGAAGCTCGAATCCGTCAGCTTCAACATAAGGTAGTTATGACGCAATTATGAACTAGCGACTCGCCCTAGCTCTGTTTGGGTTCGAACTCGCTACATTATGTGCCAAAAAACTAGTAAATCTATTTCTTATCCCACAGGAATATTTTAATTGGCATAAAAAATAGATTTTTACTATCCTCCAATAAAATAACAAAAACCCTTAAGAAGAATCCCATGTCCTTATCAGAATCCTCTATCCTTTTTTGAAATTAGTAAAGATGTTTTAGTGGTCCAATTATATAAGGAAATTCGCATATGATGTAGTCTCTCTTACTTATTTCTTTGAAAATATAGAAGTTTCAATTATTACTCCAAGATTTTATATAAAAAGTACATTCAACTTTTACACGGCACTCTATCAATAAAATGTAATATGAAATTACTCGTATTCATCATCATCATTATCATCATATTCAGTCTGCTTTCATCCACTGCTGGACATAGGCTTCTCCTATGATACGTCAGTGAGCTCGATCTTCAGCTCTACGCATCCAACCGTTTCCAGCCACTTTACGAATGTATTATATACATCATATATAATTATATCTATACATATAATAAAATTGTAACTAAGTCGACGCTGTACATTAAATATTTTTTGGAAAATGTTATGAAATAAACATTATTATCGATACAGAGGCCGAATCTATAGTTTTTAGAATTTGTTTGTCTGTCTGTTACCGCATCACAGATAAACCACTGGAGGGATTTTGATGAAATTTGGTATAGTGACAGCTGGTTATTCGGGTCAACATATAGGATACTTTTTACCTTGGGAAAGTATCACATTTTTGAGAAAAGTATACTAATATGTAAAACCTAAGAATTTGGTTTTTGGTAATCTGAACGCGGGCGGAGCCGCGGGCAATGCTAGTTATATATATTATATACAGTACATTATTAAAATAAGAAAGAGATACAAATACGTATACATACATATTTGTGTAATTATCTTTATGAATCATTATATAATAATATAAAATCAAATCAATCAAATATTAATATAATAAGTAATTGATTGAATATGTATACTTTAAAAATATTACGTCGAAGCTTCCTCATGCCAATGCTTTTTATCAGAATTACTTTAATTATGAAATGGGTGCTTTGAGCTTTCATTTGATTGATGATAATATTACTGTTAAAGAGCGCTCGTTATCTTTTATTTATTACCAAAGACGACACATTTGGCTCCGTTCTTAGTGACCCTACTTGCTGTGCTAGCGGTCGCAGGTTCGAGTTCCGCTGGGGGCATTCATTTGTGTGACGAGCGCGAATGCTTGTACTCCAGTCATGGGTGTTTATATACATAATATGTATGTATTTAAAGTCATATACGTGTAGTGTATCAACTATTTGGTATCCATAACACAAGCCTCGTAGCTTACCATGGAACTAGATGGTGCTTTGTGTTAATTTCCCAACATATTTATTTATTTAATTACTAGTCACCCGTAATATTTGGAAATCAATTTAGTTACATGCAATATTTGTCCTTATATCAATGTGAATGTTCATTTTTAGCACTTCTTTTCGCCTGTAATAGAGCAACGGATCCACTTTTTTCCAGACATGAAATAAGAAATGCTAAGATACATTTACTATATTTGCAAAGTGACATAGGCTATTCTTTACCCGACTTTAAAAAGGAGGAGGTTCTATGTTTGTCTGTATGTATACATTTTTTTATTTATTCCGGCATTCCAAGTGGAATATAAGTATGCTAAAAAGATACTTAAAGTGTAAATTAAAGAAGCACAAAGTGTGAGTATATTAAAGAAGTGAATGTACAGCAGTCGAATAATTAAGTACGAATATGGAAGCTCCGTTCACACACGTTAGAGGAGCTTAATCGCGTTAACAGAGTTATGAGAAAGTGATGTGAATATTGAACGAGCGTTTTGATTGAATGAAACTTGTCATTAAGATTATTCTCCCATTTGCTGCTATATTGTGCTCGTGATTTTCAAGTGCGATATACGTACAGAATTAGAATATTAGATAAATAATTGACTAGAAGTTACACGTGGATGTGCTCGCCTATTTTAAAAATAATAGGTTTTCATATAAACTTTCAACCCTTTTTTACCCTTTTAGGGGTTGAATTTCTAAAAATTCTCAGCGGACATCCACAAAATTATTAATCAGTTATTTAGCTTGTACTTATTTAAAGTATTTCGCTTATAATAATATATAGCTATGTATGTACGTGTATATGTATGTATGTAAAAAATACCATCACATATTGAATTAAGGGGTAGGTATATTTCAACTCACTAAAGAAAATACTGTCACCGTCTGTCAAAGCTATTTAACTCGAAAACTCTTGGGGGTTACATTGCTGAAATTTAGTACATAGGTGTTTTATATATACCGCAACATAATTCTGGAATCAAATTAACAAAAAAAATTGATGACACGATTGGCTCAGTTTGTAGAACCTTACTTGCTGTGCCAGCGGTCGCGGGTTCGAGTCCTGCTGGTGGCATTCATATCCGTGATGAGTCCGAATATTTGTGCTCCAGTTATGGGTGTTTATATTAATAATGTGTGTATTTAAAGTTATATATGTGTAGTGACTAGTGTATCAACTGTCTGGTATCCATAACACAAGCTTCGTAGCTTACCATGGAACCAGATAGTGCTGTGTGCTAATGTCCCAAAATATTTATTTATTTACCTAAAGAACAAGGGTGACACTTTTTTACACATATTAATCTTGGGGAATGCATTTACACATACCTATATTTACAAGTCTACAAGTGGTTATGGCACTCCGTGTATCATGTTATGACTGCGGGGTGAAAATCGTATCTCTGAATATGTGTTTAAATTCAGATATTATATGTTTGAAATAACGTTTTTAAATAAGCTAATACTTGCAAGGGTTCCGTACACAGCTTATATAGTATCTTTGATAATATTTTAAATAAAACTATCTTTTCGAATTATTTCCGCGAATTTATTTTGATTTTTGGTTCCCGACCCTTCGAATAATTTTCATCAATTTTGGTCAAAGGCTCTATATTTATTTAAAGTAAGATATATTCGTGTAAATCTAAGAGATTCTTTGATTATAAATTATAACGCTTTGCAAAAGGAGATTGCATTTGGGTAACGTTCTGGCAAAAGGAATAAATAATTATGTTACACTTAGAATTTATTTTAATGAATTAGTTATAAACCAAATCTTTACGGAAACTACTCATATAAAGCCATAGACGAAACCTACTTTAAAATATGAAATATTTATTCATGCACTTTAATAATAATTTACTTTGAAGTAATTGTAGCGTGATGCAATATAACGAACAATAAAACTCGGGTAAATTATATTCTTCTTAATATATGCAGAATATATATGTTAGTAGCTGCTAGTTAGTTTAAAGGCTAACATAACGGTTGCTTATCATGAATATTTTTTAATGCCGGATCGGGCCCAAAATAGATTTTTTTTTATTTTCTTGTTTTAAAAAATTCATAGTAGACAGCAAGTAGGTAAGTACCCCTTTTCTCTCTGAAGTCATATGAAATCATGTCCTAATATAATAGATTAGCGGCTCACCT